TAAAAAATAAGAGTGGTTGGTCCTTAGAAAGTGTAGAAAACATCCAACTTAAGACTTAGAGGACAAGCTTGGTGGACCACCCTAAGAGTTTAGAAATTCTAATTACATTGTGATTGAATTTAAGTCAAATGACCAACAAAAATGATCTGCTATGGCGTGTAAGGTTGGCCAAGAATTTGATAGAAGACTTTAGCTCATATAAAATAAAGAAAAACTTAATTTATTGATCTAATTTATTGTGACATTTGAATTTACTGTAGATCCCATCAGACATTAGAATTTGGTATTGATCCAATGATTCCTACGAAATTACATCATTATGTCAATAAATTAGGTCAAATTTTTAGATTCAAATATTATTATTCTAAAATAAATGATATCCCTTTCATATGGGCGGGAGGCCCAATAAATACAAGGTTTAGGCGAAAATATTTGATGAGACTTCGTTGTAATGTAATATAATGATATATATACGACTAAATAAATGTTAGGATTGATTTTTATTTCTATTTATATTTATATGCCAATAAGAGAGGTTTTTATCAAGGGTTGTGAGACAATATATACGAAATTCTAAATACCGGAAAAATCTTTCCTATGTTTCTAGTAACAACCAATAAAAGAATGATTTGAAAAAAATGAAATGAGAAAATATTACTATATATTTATTTAAAACTTGTTTTTTGTTTATATTTGAGATGTGAAACTACAAATTCATTTTTTGCATTCAAGCTTGGGGGTAATAAAAAAATCATTAATTGAAGTTAAATTTGGAGACCAAAATATAATTAAATCTGCTATAAGTTGAATATATAGAAAAATAGAATTGAAATTTATTAATTCAACTAAATTATTTTTCAAAAAATTTATTTCATCTATTTATTGTCCAAATCTATTAAAACTAGACACAAACTCATTAATGTGGTGTCAATTTTTTATTAGTTTATAGGTTATAACTAAAATTATAAAATTAATTAAATTTGTGGACCCGTGTTCTTTTGGGGGCCAAAATATTACTATTTAGAATAAATTTCACTAACACTCCCAAATTTGAGTCATATTTTACTAACACTCCATCTAATTTCTAAAATATCACTTAATATCCCCGTAATTTATATACATATTTCACAAACTAGCTCTATTGTCTAATGTCGTTACTGACAAGCAAAAAGGTGTAATGTGATGACTTATTCTCTTATGAGTTTTCAAATTTATCCTGGCCATATAAAACAAGCTTAAAGTAGTAGGAAACATCCTTTTAGTATTAATTTAAATTAAATTAAATGCTAATTAGATTAAACAGAATTTTTTCTATAAAAAATTGGATTAAACAAAATGTTAATTTGGTGTTAATTTTAAAAAATAATATTAATTTTACAAAACTAAATATTTAATTCAAAAAATTAAATGTTAATTTGAAATTCAATCAAAAAAAAGAATGTTAATTTTATAAATTAGTTGTTAAATTGATGAAATTAAATGTTAATTTGAGGTTAATTTGATGAAATTGAATATTAATTTAGTGTTAATTTTATAAAATTGAATATTAATATGATGAGATTGAATGTTAGTTTGCTGAAATAAAATAAAAATTTATAAAATTTAAAATCTTTTTTTTTTTTGGGAGAGGGAATGGGAAGGAGAACTTGAACCCTTGACCTCAACAAGACAAGGAGTACCATTAGACCAAAGACCCATTGATAAATATAAAATTCAAAATCAATTTCACATTAGTTTGGTATAATCTTGTATTAATTTGATGAAATTTAAAGTTAATTTGATAAAATTGATAGGTAATTTGATATTAATTAGATCAAATTGAATATTAATTTGGTATTGGTTTAATAAAATTGAATGTTAGTTTGATAAAATTTAATGCTAGTTTGATCGAATTTAATGTTAATTTTGTACTAATTTGATAAAATTAAATATTAATTTAGTGTTAATTTAATAAAAATAAATATTAATTGGATAAAAATGAATATTAATCAAACAAAATTAAAAGTTGATGTGTTAATTTGATAAAATTATAAGTTAATTTATATTAATTTGATGCTATATTAATAATGATAATATGTGAAATGAATTGAATATTTAAACTCCTCCGATAAAAAAAAGTTTGTAACCATGGTTAGGTTAGGCCATAACATGGGATAAAACATAAAAATATAAGGATAAAATAGAATTACACTCTTGTAAAATGAGAGTTCTAAGAAGAGTAAATAAATAAAATCATGTTCTCCATTAGATGTGTTAATTTATTTTTTTTTGAGCAATCGGAACACCATTTGAAATTTATTATGTAGGAAAGTTTTTNTTATATTAATTTGATGCTATATTAATAATTATAATATGTGAAATGAATTGAATATTTAAACTCCTCCGATTAAAAAAAGTTTGTAACCATGGTTAGGTTAGGCCATAACATGGGATAAAACATAAAAATATAAGGATAAAATAGAATTACACTCTTGTAAAATGAGAGTTCTAAGAAGAGTAAATAAATAAAATCATGTTCTCCATTAGATGTGTTAATTTATTTTTTTTTGAGCAGTCGGAACACCGTTTGAAATTTATTATGTAGGAAAGTTTTTATTATAGTCATTCAAAAGAGAAGCCTTAAGCTCGGGTGGAGGGAGCCGATCCAATCCAATGGAAGAGAATTGGATAATTGAGTGGTTGTCACCCAATGAACAGCCTTATTATAGGCTCTAGACTTGTGTAAAAAAGTAAGATTTCTAATCCTAGCAAAATATTTAATGTCACTAATAATTACACTTATCTCTAAGTTTGATTACACTAAGACAATCATTCAAGATTGTTGCATTAGTAGCCAGTTGGGCCTCAGCAAGGAGACAAGCTTGTCGCACAACCTCCACCTCTGCAAGCAAACTTGACCCTGCATGGAAAGACTTGGCACTGCCAAAGACAAGATCCCCCCATCCTTCCAAGTAACCACCCCACAAGCCGNGCTCTAGACTTGTGTAAAAAAGTAAGATTTCTAATCCTAGCAAAATATTTAATGTCACTAATAATTACACTTATCTCTAAGTTTGATTACACTAAGACAATCATTCAAGATTGTTGCATTAGTAGCCAGTTGGGCCTCAGCAAGGAGACAAGCTTGTCGCACAGCCTCCACCTCTGCAAGCAAACTTGACCCTGCATGGAAAGACTTGGCACTGCCAAAGACAAGATCCCCCCCATCTTTCCAAGTAACCACCCCACAAGCCANAGTCCTTAAAACCCATGCCACCGACAGCCTTAGAATCAGTCATCTTGTCCCAACTCCGCTAACAGACACCAGAATTTTTATCAGATCCACTCCATCAAAATTTTCGCACATAGCAATCAAGTTTCGCACAAAAAACTTTAGGAAAAACTACCACAGACGTGACATAATTAGAAATGACTTAGATGTCAGCCTTAATAAGGACCTCCATTAGATGTGTTNCAACAAAAACCGTTCATTCCATATTCCCTTGGCCTTGACAACAGTAACAAAAGCATCAACTGCAACACCATAGAAAATGAAGTTATTCCTCACCTTCCAGATAAGCCAACCAACCGTTGCCAAGCGACCCAGTGGATCAAGGCCCCCTTGGCCAGAACCAACAAGATGCAAAAGCAAAGAAGATCTGCAAACCACAGACAAAAAGGAAGAAGAGTTTCACTGGATAGAAAGATCCATACCAAACCACACCCTGTTGGTCCAACCATATTCGAACAGAAGGTGCTCAATTGATTCAGAAGCAGACGAACATATCTGACAAAGAGGGAAAAAGGCACACTTCCTCCTGAAAAGGTTATCATGTGTAGCAAGGGAATTATGGCAAGCTCTCCACCAAAAGTGCCTCACCTTCGGGGCAACAGTCATACGCCAGAGACACTTTCAAAACCAAGATGGGGTAGAGACTAAAGAGCCAACCGCCTGAGGGACAGTCATTTGCAGCTTACCCAAACGATAGGCAGATCTCACTGTAAAAGCCCCGTTCCTATTAAGCCACCATATTCGTTGATCAGCAACCCCATAAAACGGAAGAGAAATGACTTGGATAGCATACAGTTCATCCCTAGAGATAACAAAGGAAAGCTTGGGGATGTTCCATCTCTTGGGATTCGGCCTGATGAAATCAGCCACCTTCAGCAAAAAGCAATACAGGGGCATCATAGAGTAAACAGACTTGCTTGGGAGCCTAGAGATCCATTTGTCTTTCCAAAACAAGACATCCTTGCCGTCACCAATCTGCCAACAAAGACCCTTGTCCAACAGCTCTCTGCCATAAAGCAAGTTCTTCCATACCCAAGAGGGTCTAGAGCCACATGTAGCCTTCATAAAATCAACCTCGGAAAAATAAATCGCCTTCATAAACCTAGGCCAGAAAGAGTCCGGCTGCGCAAGTAAGTGCTAGCATTGTTTGGCTAACAGAGATTGATTGAACAATTTGAAGTCCTTAAAACCCATGCCACCGACAGCCTTAGAATCAGTCATCTTGTCCCAACTCCTCTAACAGACACCAGAATTTTTATCAGATCCACTCCATCAAAATTTTCGCACATAGCAATCAAGCTTCGCACAAAAAACTTTAGGAAAAACAACCACAGACGTGACATAATTAGAAATGAATTAGATGTCAGCCTTAATAAGGACCTCCATTAGATGTGTTAATTGAATAAAACTGACAACAATATTTAGTAAAATATGACTTAAATCTAAGAAGGTGTTAGTAAAATTTATCCTACTTTTTATTTGAGGACCCAGGCGGTGGCATTAATAGCCATGCCCAGGGCCGGCCCTGCATATCTTTTTAATACTCGATCACCTGACATTTCCAAATGATGCGGAGATTCTGACGACTTTACACTTGATCAAATTTGGTAATTTGGTGAAAATTGATCCAAGGCAAATAACCAAGTGTAAGAGAGAATGGAAGCTTACCCACATCCGCCAGCATTAGCTCGCTCTCTCTCTCTCTCTCTCTCTCTCTCTCTCTCACACACACACACACACACACACACACCCCTCACACACACAAATCACTAGAATGCATAAACAAACTTTTGTAACGAAACAGAAAGTACTAACAATACAATACATGATGCCAAATTCTTGCGTAACTCTTACAAAGTTGCCATCAACATTGCTCTAATTTTGGCTCGGAGATCCTCAGAAACCTCTGTAACTTCAGAGGCCTGAGATGGGTCCCTCCGATCTCGATAGGAACTTAAGTCCACAGAAGCTTCTCTACTGGGACCAACCCCCACACTTCCTCTCGATTGATCCGAGATTTTGGAACTGATCTCACCTTCTTCCAACTCTTCTCCATCTGAATGAGATCTCTTCCTATGCTTATCAGATTTGTCATGGTGCTGATGCTCCTCATGGGTAGAGCTATCGTTCTCGTGCAGACGCCTAGATTCTCTGTCCTTGGAAGAAGAATGCCTGCTGCTTTTCTTATGCCGATCTCTACTATGATGCGAAGAATGGTGAGACCGGTGCTTCTTCCTAGAGTGCTCCTTTTTGTCCACTCCCTCATAATCTTCTTCTTCGTCATCCTCATCATGGGAAGAATGAGGAGACCGGTGTTTCTTCTTGGATCGTGTATGATACCTTTCATCTTTATCTTCATCTTCACGTGAAGTATGATGAGAACGGTGCTTCCTCCTGGAGCGTTTATGATCCATTTCTTCACTTTCATCTCCATCATCTGCATGTGAAGACCGATGAGACCGGTGCTTCTTTGAATGCTTATTATCCCTTTCATCATCCTCATCAATTTCTTCTTCATCATCCTCTACATGTGATGAACGATGAGACCTGTGCTTCTTCCTGGAACGCTTCCGCTCCCTTTCCTCCTCCTCCTCCTCTCCTTCCTCCTCATCATCATGACGTCTCCCAGATCTTGTTCGATACTTCCTTCTTGATCTTCGTTCATTGAATTCATCACCAGGATTTTTCCTTTCAGACTTGTGATTTTTATCCGAAGTATTGATAGCTAAAGGATCTGAGCTACTTTCCCTTTCTTTGGCTGCAAGATTAACCTCAGCACCAAAACCAGAAACCCCAGATTCTTGTGGTTCAACTGACAAACCACGCAGTGGTTCAGTTTTGGAAGGTGCAGCTCCATTTTTCAACACGGCCACAAACATCTTTGCCCGTTTCAGCCTCTCAGCCTTCAGCTTCTGCTCCTTGGTCAAGTGTGCTTCAGAAGAGTAGGCCTCACTGCCAGCTTCAGTAGCAGGAAGCTTAGATATTGGCTTGGTAACATGAAGTGCTATACTGCTCTCTGCATTCTTATTGGACTTTTGGATGACACTTTCAGGTTGAGATGAAGGGAGACTGCCTTCCCGTCCACCTTCGATTATATCATCATGCCTATTACAGTTTGGAAATGTACTTGAAAGAATATCCAAATTAGGATACTTCATACCTCTTGTGGCAGCCTGAAGAATAGCTGCAGCAGCTGCTGCATCTACACTGACTCCAAATTGTGGTTGGGTGGCTTTGGATAGTGGGTCCTGCCCTTCCTTCTTTGACTTGCCAATCACCATCTTAAACTTCTCTTTCCTGTCGGAATCAAAAGGTACATCACAACCACCTGTTTCTAAGGACAAAACATCACTTGCCTTTGATAGAGAAGTTTTCACCGAATCGTCCTTCTCAGAAAGGAAGCTCTTCCCCGTTGATTTTGACTGTAAACAATGTATATAGGAACATCAGCAAGAGTGTGGAAATGAGGCAAATTGTTGCAGGTCCACATATCTAAATGCCTAACTTTAGTTATTAACTCAGATTTATGATGTAGACTGTATGCACTGCTTAATAATAATGCAATGTGCATCAATAGTTCAACGCAGATGTGAAAGTATTATCACCATAAACTACTCCAACACCCCCACCCTCCTTTTCTGTTCCTCCTTTTTTTGTGCACTGTAAACAGAGTCATATTAGTGGCAAATCAGAAGTTAAATAGTATAGAGTGTCAGATCCAGGTACCAAATGTAGAGAATAGATTAAATTTATCAGAACATCCCACCCATGCTATATTCCTGGACATGGCCAACCTATGGGCCTCTGTTTTTAGTACCTTCTATTTATGTTTGTGCACTTCAAAACTGCAAGATAATATATTTTATCAAACAACTAGGGGTTAACCCATGCCTGAAGGCACGGTGTAATGTGAATGGTTTTGACAGAGATGTTGTTGGGTGTTGGATGAATCTATTGGAGACCGTCANACTGCAAGATAATATATTTTATCAAACAACTAGGGGTTAACCCATGCCTGAAGGCACAGTGTAATGTGAATGGTTTTGACAGAGATGTTGTTGGGTGTTGGATGAATCTATTGGAGACCGTCAGATGAGTTTATATTATATATAGATAATGCGCTGGCATATTTTTGACTCATCCTGCACTTGGAAAAAAAATATGGTCCGACATTGGGAAAAAACGGTCTGACATATTTTAGGGCCTGGGCTACAAATTATGACTCGAGGCCTAGTTTAGAACAATATTTATTCAAAAATATATTATTGAATAAAACTAGAGAAGGGAAAGGCGGGCTCGAAGTAAAATATAACCAACATTGGATCAGAAACACAAACCCCCACACTTCACGACCCACCTATAATACTTGGTGTCACAAACAGATCTAACTTCAAATACACCACCAAAACTCTTTAGTAATTAAAACACCAAAAAACTGAGGAAATGAAGTTGACTTCAAATTATGTCACAAACTCAGGAAGAACAGAATGAAATCAATGGCCACACAATCACTAGATTCCCGGGCAAGGTATGAACCAAACTCAAAAACCCACAGACTATAAATTACCATGATGTTAATTAAAGTCAAACTTGAGTATTGATAATTGTGGATACAAACATGTTAGAGCATTCAACTCAAAACCAATTGATAATGAGTGGAGTAGTCTCTCAGGTATATATTTATAAACCAACCTTACGTGGTCCTAAATTCCTAATTATTCAAGGTGGGATACAAACTCTCTTTACACCCTCCCTCATGTGGGAACCCGGGCTGGCATGTGGAGGCTAACAAATAACCATGTATACCGAAAAATTCAAATGACTAGGAGACTTAGCCCACTGACTATGCTCAGCTTTGATATCATGTTAGAGCATCCACCTCAAAACTAATTAGTAATGAATGGATTAAACCTTCGAGTATATAAACCAATCTTCAGTAGTCATAATTATTCAATGTGGGACACAAGCTCTCTTTACCGAACCTTTAAAATGATATAATTTGAAGAAAAACATGGCTGTTAACTTTCAGCTACCATTTCATTTAATAAAGAGAGTCAGCATAAAGCCAAAAAAATCTGGATAAATTAGATTGCTTCCTGAGATTTCCTTTTTCTAGCTTAAGTGCCAAATTTTATGCCCACATAACCCATCTTATCAAGGAACACACCAGGCAGATATCGCCCCAAAATTAGCCAAAAAGAAACAAAACAGGGTAAAGGGTTGCTGAGAGAAGTACCTCTTGCGCTTTTTGGAGAAGTTTCAGATAGTAAGGATGATACTGGTTAGATGGCAGAAGAAATGGAAATCTACCATGTTTACTGTCCTGTTCAATGAGTACTGCCTCAAATTGCTTCCCATTCTTCATAATGAACTCAACTATTTTGTCAACTAATCTCTTTAAATCAGATGGAGGCTCCAAAAGTACAGGTTCAATCTTAGACATTGCTACACTAGAAGCCTGTAACTTATCCAAAGCAGCAGAAAATGAACCAGACGTGTCATCTTTTCTCATGCTACTGGTAATACCAGCCTTGGATACAGAGTTGAAAGAATTCCTTTTTAACACAGGAGCCTTTTCTTTGGATGGAAATGGATGCCTGTACACTGGCTCATCTTTAGTAGCTACATTCACACGAGACTCTGTCATCTCTGAACCATGAGAAACTGTTGCACTTAAAGCATCAAGGGTTTCTGCAGCCGCCTTTTCCTTATATTCTGAGGCATCCTCAGATGCACCGTCCTCATCCTCCCCAGACCCGTACACAGAACCAAGCAAGGATAACGCTCCACCTCCAACACCATCTGTCTGATTGTGCTCAGTACCTGTTTTCTGCTCCCCACTCTGAGGTTTTCCATCAATGTCAAACTGCAAAACTTCGGGGTGATCAACAAGAAACCTGAAGTATGCATGAAGGTGATGGTCAGGCATCAAAAACCCAAAAGTTGGATTGTCTCCTTGTTTCACCCTCAGAATGAACTCCGACTGCCCACCATGTTTGCTGACAAACAGAGCAGTCCTTGCAATTATCTGATGTACCTTCTCGGATGGAGGCTGAAAAAATAGACAAAAAGAAAGAAAGAACGAAGGCTTCGACATTAATAATGGGAAACTTCACAACTGAATACCAGAAACATAAAAATCAGAACCTCACTAAATAATTCCAAGAACATCCAATGAAGCTGACACATATCTGGATAACCATAACGATCAAGTAACAGAACTCCAAGAGATATGTTTCATCACAGTTGCTCTCACAAGTTGTTATTATGACTATTTCCTGATAAAGAGTAACGAAAGATATTATTATCCTAATCCCACCTGCACGGCCCCTTGGTCATGACATCAAAAGGAAACAAGGTTCCCATGAATGGCAACCTTAGGTCACAAGAACTCCATCCCTGCTCCGAGCATCTGAAAACTTAGACAGGGTAAGCCTTAGAATAACATATGCACCTTAGACAATCATGATTTGGCCACATTGGATGAGTGTAGTTAGCAAACAAACAAACAATAGTATAAAGGCCTTGTGAAAATGCAGAAGGTAAGCAGAGGATGAAGAGCTTGAACTTACTAGGCTTTGAAGAAGGCTTTCAGGCACAGGGAAGGGTGGACAAAATCCAGAGCTTCCCNTTAGCAAACAAACAAACAATAGTATAAAGGCCTTGTGAAAATGCAGAAGGTAAGCAGGGGATGAAGAGCTTGAACTTACTAGGCTTTGAAGAAGGCTTTCAGGCACAGGGAAGGGTGGACAAAATCCAGAGCTTCCAAACCCAGCATCAGCACTGCTGTAGTCAGCAGAATCATTGGTGTTACCATACGAAAAGCCAACAGCCCGATAACTGCCAGCATCCACTGGTTTTGCACTTTCATCTGGCTCTGGATACAAAAAGACATTTGGAAATTTGAATTTACATGGGTCTCTTAACAAGTAGTGCTGTGCTTGTAACAATTAAAACAATCACTCTAGAGATAAAAAGCAATCAAAAGGAGAAAGCCAGAGGAAGGATAGAAAATCTTACTTTTGACCCGAAGCTGCAATAGCACAAGCTAAATATAGTCCTGCAGACTTGGAAACATAGTGAAAAAAAAAAAGAAGGGAAAACAAAGAAGAAAATGACTTATGCAACTCTCTAGAATCCCAAGTCCCTTTTTTACAAGTACCCCTGCATTAAAAAGAGACTTCACAGTTCACCTAGGACTCTTTCCCCTCCAAACACAATGTCTCTCTTATTCAATCATTGTTATATTGATACCATCCAAATGGGGAACCATTGCAACCACACAACCAGATCAAATCATAACTAATCAGTAATCATTGCCCCAACAATTGGACACAGAAATGAAATGCTCCCTCAAGACAAAAGGTAACCAAAAACTTCAAAAGCTCCAGCTCCTTGCATATGTACAAATTTATTGCGGGGCAAAACCAATCAGTCTAAACCCAGTTTTCAAGACCTTAATCCAACTAATTCAACACTGCTAATCAAAGCTATATGCGGACACCATAGTTTATGCATTCCAATACTCTTAATATTGCCATAATTATGCCCATCATTCCGTATCTCACCAAGCAAACAGGAAAAATCTCCTCAACGATTAAGAAAACAAATCGACAAACTGCATCTCGATTCATATCTTTGAATAATTCCTCTTCCACCTCAACATTGCTTTCGTTTTTCATTTTTTACATCTTCCCTCAGACTAAGTTAACTTTCATGTAAAATTTTATCCGTCCAAAAAACGTGATAAGCAAAGTCATAAATAAAATCCCTACTTATTATAGCCAACTATACAATTAAATGAAAACAACAAACAATAATAAAATCGAGGGAAAAGCAATATCAAAGGCTAATCAGTTATTTTACCTTGTTCATCGGATGGTTGTGGTAGATCGAGGTATCGTTCGTGATCGAGCTCGGTTTCAAGTGAAGACTCCGAGGACGAAGGCTGTTGGGGGTTCCGGCGCCGCCTGGGCGGCAGAGGGGAGGAGAGGAGGTGTCGGACGTCGTAGCGGTCGATTTGGAGCGAGTTCCACTCGACCAGAGCGTCGCCGGAGTTGACGAACGCCGCCGTCGAGTCATCGTCGAAGAGGAGAGCGTGGCGTCCCACAACCTCTAGATCCATTGCTGCGAGATGAATTGACCGTCCTTTCGAATACAAAGAGATGAATTGACCGCTTAAGAGATTGAAACCCTAGGTTTGTGTATGCGCCTGTATGGCGCTCACAGAAACGGAAGAGAGAGAGAGAGAGAGAGAGAGAGTTTACACGGAAGAAGGGCCGGATGGAGGACACAGTATTTACTATTTAGAGATGACGAGGGCGTGGGAGTTCAACTCAAAACGGATCCGATCCGAATCTGGCTTCCAAATTCGTTAATAAAAGAATAAAAAAAAAAGGGTTAGTTCTACAAACTTTNTTGAAACCCTAGGTTTGTGTATGCGCCTGTATGGCGCTCACAGAAACGGAAGAGAGAGAGAGAGAGAGAGAGAGAGTTTACACGGAAGAAGGGCCGGATGGAGGACACAGTATTTACTATTTAGAGATGACGAGGGCGTGGGAGTTCAACTCAAAACGGATCCGATCCGAATCTGGCTTCCTAATTCGTTAATAAAAAAAGAAAAAAAAAAGGGTTAGTTCTACAAACTTAAATAAATTTATCGAATCTCAAATACACTCATTCAACATCCACCAACAATTCTATTATATTTTATTTCAATTTTTTTAATTAAAACAAATAAAAATAATTTTTTTTTCAAAATAACTGATTGGTTTACGTTCAATTCAAATTAGTCGAGTTTGGACAATTTTTTAAACTCATTTAAAAAATTAATTTCTCGATTTATTTATATATAAAATAATCAAATTATTCAACTTTGACTTAATTTTTACTCAAATTTTAAAAAAAATTCTTACCGTCCCAACTCTGGTTTTTTAAATTTTTTCTACTAAAATATTTTACCCCCTCTTGTTCTTCTCTTTTATTCCCTTCGAAACCTCTATTTTTAGGACTCGTTCTTTGTCTCTAAAATTTCATACCCTCGTCATTTTATCAAAGNTTTTATTTCAATTTTTTTAATTAAAACAAATAAAAATAATTTTTTTTTCAAAATAACCGATTGGTTTACGTTCAATTCAAATTAGTCGAGCTTGGACAATTTTTTAAACTCATTTAAAAAATTAATTTCTCGATTTATTTATATATAAAATAGTCAAATTATTCAACTTTGACTTATTTTCTACTCAAATTTTAAAAAAAAATTCTTACCGTCCTAACTCTGGTTTTTTAAATTTTTTCTACTAAAATATTTTACCCCCTCTTGTTCTTCTCTTTTATTCCCTTCGAAACCTCTTTTCTTAGGACTCGTTCTTTGTCTCTAAAATTTCATACCCTCATCATTTTATCAAATTTAAAAATTTAAATTAATTGGCATGTAGTGATTGATTTGTCTATAGCTTTACACTATCATTTTACTGTGACTTTGATTAGATGACAAGGGTAAGAGAGATGGAATTGTGTGCGTAGTTTGTGTTTTGATCAAGGGGAGGGGAATGGATCACAATCATTAATCTAAAATTAATTTTTCATAATTCTCAAAAGATCTGAACAATAGGCAGAAACTATTTAATTATTTATTTAAATCGCAACTCAGATAATAAAACTCAAAAAATTAAAACAGCAAAGTCTTATCATATGTATTCAAATTGTACAACTAATTGTAAAACAGAAAAGAAAAGAAAGAAAAAGAAAAAGACTCGACAATATTAAAGTACTAGTAATTACCCGTGTNTAAAATTAATTTTTCATAATTCTCAAAAGATCTGAACAATAGGCAGAAACTATTTAATTATTTATTTAAATCGCAACTCAGATAATAAAACTCAAAAAATTAAAACAGCAAAGTCTTATCATATGTATTCAAATTGTACAACTAATTGTAAAACAGAAAAGAAAGAAAAAGAAAAAGACTCGACAATATTAAAGTACTAGTAATTACACGTGCNAAAATTAAAACAGCAAAGTCTTATCATATGTATTCAAATTGTACAACTAATTGTAAAACAGAAAAGAAAAGAAAGAAAAAGAAAAAGACTCGACAATATTAAAGTACTAGTAATTACCCGTGTCTGAAAGTATTAAATGACAAAAAAAAATGGAAATTATAAATTTTTGCAGAGGCTTGGTTTTCTCTTTTTATTTTAATATAAAGATAAAACAATTCTAATCTAATCACATACGAAACATGCAAAGAAAAATTCAACCATAGCCCTTAAATATATGCACATGCTAAAAGGATAAATACAACTGTTTTTACTTCATAAATATGCTTAAAGTTATTTCATGGACAAATAAAACTTTATAAATTTTAAACTGATGTTAGTCATNATAAAGATAAAACAATTCTAATCTAATCACATACGAAACATGCAAAGAAAAATTCAACCATAGCCCTTAAATATATGCACATGTTAAAAAGATAAATACAACTGTTTTTACTTCATAAATATGCTTAAAGCTATTTCATGAACAAATAAAACTTTATAAATTTTAAACTGATGTTAGTCATTGATAACAAAGATCACATGTTACAAATATTCATTTTCCTATAATATTACATAGTGCAGACCAAAGCACGCGATTTATATTTTGAGAATTATTTGAGAATCAACTCATTTAATTTGACTAAAAGGCTCATGATTAAGAAAGGATAAGACAACCCACACAAATAACCTGATGAAAGAGATATAGTAGCTGATTTTGTTTTCTTTGCTAGTCCATATGTTGATCCCACTAAATAAAGGGGACATGAATTGCCAAAAAAATCAGAAAACCTGTAACAAACTNTGATGAAAGAGATATAGTAGCTGATTTTGTTTTCTTTGCTAGTCCATATGTTGATCCCACAAAAGAAAAGGGGAAATGAATTGCCAAAAAAATCAGAAAACCTGTAACAAAATTTTATAGACAGGATAGCAAGCTCCACACCATTGTCACGGTCCCCCAAAAAAAAAAAAAAGCTAGCAGAATAGAATAAAATAGGCCAAGCAAGTTCTAGTTTATGGTAAGATTTGCAAAATACCCTACAAAATTCATAAGCAATTACATTCTCTTTTGTTAAGCAGGATTTGAAGAGAAAAAATTAAATAATGAGTCAGCAAAATAACACAGCAAGTTTTGGGCAAACAAAACTATTTTGTTGTTGCTATCACATCTTCAAGTTGCAGCATATGGTAAACCTAGGATAACAGCCAGCACATGGGCTTAAAAATTATGATGTGGTGATGATGCTAGGGATAGCACATCGATTTTGTTCATTCCGCTCAACAGAGAAGTGCATCAAGGACAGACAAAGCACAAAAAATCTACATTAGCACCATAATGAAATGCAAATTGGGACACCGATTTGCCTCCATGCCAAGCAGAATAGTATATGCATAATTATCCAAAGCATATATAAAATTAGGGAAATAAAATAAAACTAACCATTACTTATATACCTAACAGTACAACTAAACCAAACCTGATGAGTCAAGATTGACTTCATTCACCGAGCTACCTTCACTCTCATACCCTGAAAAATAAAATGAATTATGTTAGAAGAAATAATTGAGTTCAGGTCTTGCAATTTAAATCCAAAGCTCAGTATAAAATAATTTCAATCGTGATGACAATATTAATAAGCATAGCATGCAGGACAACGATGCCACCCTGTAGGTGTAAGCAATAAAGCGGAAAGAAAATTAATAGCCACAAAAAAACTAAACACATGTAGAAAGAGAGAAAAGCATAACAAAAAATAGTAAGGATAAACGTGAGATCTGTCGTTTTTCTTCACTTCTACATCAAAAGAGACAACAAAAACAGAGATGATGACGAACTTTCCCTTCATAATTCAGGTAGATTTTCTTCTAGCTTCGTCCAGGGAGACAATTCTCTTGGACAACAAATGGAACCAAGGGATTCTTGACTGTGTGCCCTTTGCTTTTGTTAATGCATTGACTTCGCTTGTGAAAAATATCGAAAGTGTTCCAGTTTCTAGTCTGCCTCGCATGTTTGGGTTTTTACCACTCGACAATTCTAGGATGGGGAGGGGCTTTCGGGTGAGGGGTTAATTTTTGAGAGAGAGAGAGAGAGAGAAGAGATACATTTTCTTAGTGCATTCGTCAGTATTTTTGTTTTCTGCATAAAGAGAGAGAGAGAGAGAAAAGAAGAGGCGTGATGAGAGAGGAGATTGAGGAGGGGAGAGCGAGAGAGGAGTACATAAGCAATAGGAGTCTAGAGTTGTATATGGGATAAAAGACTTACTTAATTTTTTGAACAGAAAAAAAATTCAAACATCAATTAAGATTATGTAAACAAAATTAAAAAAAGAAATGTTGTTGAGCAGGAAAATAAAATTCAGTAATTACTGTATATCGTTAGATCAAAATTTTTGAGAAGATCTGAACCATTTTTTATGTTGGGATTACGTTGTCCATTGAATTTGTTTATGTTTTGTCTTAAAACAATCTGAACCTCCCTTTGTCTCCAAAATTCAAACTTCGTTCTACTTTATTTTATAGATATTTCTTACAAATTTCATTAATATTAATCAAAATAAAAATAAAAAATATCAACCTCTTTGAATAATAGATTCGTGAGTTTTTTTATCAAGTATGAGAGAGAGAGAGTAAAGTTGTCGTCGAAAAATAGAGGCAAGGGTCGAAAAATAGAGGCAAGGAGATATAAGATTTGAATCTCTCTCAATTTGAATCCAAAATAAATTTTTTTTTGATTTTATATAAATTTGTGTCTAATGGATAATAATTAAATTAAAAAATGATATATTTAAATTTGAATATGTGAAATATCATACAACCGATTCGGATTATAATTATTTAATCAAAATATTTGAACAAGTTGGACCTAAATCGGGGGGGTCAAATTTAGATTAAAATCTAATGTAAACTGAACTTTTTTCAAATCTTGGTTTTCCTGTGGTTCATACATTTTGCAATGATGTCTTCCTATTTGATCATATCAATGGTTGTGACCACGGCAATTTTCACTAGTCTTGGTTCGTATCCTTCCCTTCTTTCTTTTCATCATACATACAACTTCCATAGCTCCAAACCAAATATAGTTACTTGACAACCCACCTCATACATAGAGGTACAATTTCATACAAAATAAAGGTATTACTCGAAACAAACTAATCGGACTCGATTCGAATAAGGCTCGGATCAAACTCAACTCGTTTTTTAAATGAACTTAAATTAGACTATTTTTAAGGCCATTTTTTCTGAACGAGACTAAAAAATTTGGCCTGGCTTGCAAAGCTCAAGTTCGGCTCAATTAACACCCTTAATACAGAGAGATTGGGTTTGGTTGGTTGGCCAAATAATAAACTGATCCGCTTCTGAAATGATAATCAACCATGCATTTTTTTTAACTTTTATTCACGCATTTTAACGTCATATGTGCATCTTTGCAAGTACTGTAATGAACGTATATTGACTGAGCCTCCCGTATGGAACATGTATTCGAATGAAAGACATATCTATACCTAATTACCTATACTAATACTATGCACTTTCTGTTCAAGTTTTGTGGGTTATTCCAAATCCATGAAAGCATCAGAAAATACAATGAGCACTTCTCAAGCAATTAATAATCAGTCGAACGTATCTCAATTCCTGCCCTTGCGTCCATCTTTCAGCTTATTCATGATTCTGCCTTAGGAAAATCTGTCGTTGTCTATCAACGAATTTCATGGTGGACAGCAGATATCTGTCATTAGCACTCAAACATACCTTGGCAGTTTCCATCAGTCTCGAGCAAACTGCTAATATATCACCACTCAGCTGTCCGGTAAGTACAGCAGGAAGGGAAACATAACAGCTTTAGTTTGATATCAATGTATAATGCAGAGCATTTGCGAAAAGGAAAGTCAAAAAAGTTAAGAATTTCATGATTAGCATGGAAATCAACAGGATGCAATCTTCTTGCAAGTTGTTAATGGGCAATAGAAACTTTGGCCATGAGTACTAAGCTTCATCTCAAGCAAAGCATTAATGTTTCTTTTGCGGAGTTGCTACCAACAAAGATAACATATAGCAAGAACGATGAAATAAAATGTAGTTTATGGGAAAAAATTACATTCGACATGTAACTTGAAACCACAGATGATTGTTTAGGCATTAGTACTTGCATGAGTATGGGCATCCCAGAGCAGGAAAAAAAAACCACAATAAATATTAATGTTATTATTTATGTATGTACGTACAGTCCCAGCAGAAGTGGGCTACGGGAGAGCTATGCATCTCTAGGTAGAACTACCTATGGAGAAAACGGGGCCTTTGCAAAAGGATGGTAAGGAAAAAAAATTTTTCACACAGGTAAGAATCTTTGTCGAATTCAAATCTTTGCATCGGGATATACGTGTCTCAGTGTTTTTCACCATCTAAAGCAACTGTTAACCTCTCCCTTCTTTTTTTCCCCCCCTTTTCATTAGTATTCTTTTAATGCGAATATACATCATAATTCAAAAACTATAAACTTTTAATTCATCCCGCCATGTCGGTAAATACAACAAAATCACTGAAATTACCGTAACTTACTTTGAAAGATGATGCCATACAGTTGCAAGCTTCAAGCGCCATAGTTCCACGAGAAGCCTTAAAGGCAGCATTTAAAGTCAGCAAGATGGAGATCAGTTAATCAAGTTGACAACCATAACTCAAAGAAAGCCGAAGTTACCTGAGAAGGCTCTTGTAAAATAACATCAAAAATGTTCTGAATAATACCACTAGACAGAGACAGAAATTCTTGCAAATAGGTTGGATCACCAAAGAATAAATGATCATTGCCGATTACCTGGACAGGTAAAGAAAAAAAATATATGAAAAACCATGATGTATAACAGATTATACATTTACAGTTTCCAACAGCTATCAAACGGGTATGTTTTGGTAAAACCAGCACCTTGGACTAGATATTTTCTTATCAATATGATGAAAAAGCAGTAGTCTGCAATCGGCTACACGAAGTTATAAGTTGATAGTCATCAGCAGGCAAGCACTGATAGTTATAAGTTGATAATTTACTGAAAAAGAGACCAAATCAAGCCTTAGGTCCAAATAATCTGCAATCGGCTACACGAAGCCTTTTTCCATTGTTTTCTGTCAAGAGCTAGGTGCTCGCTAAATGAAAACTGTCATATCTTCCGTAAATACATCCTCGCTCTGTTAATTTTGGCAGTGCTCTTCCGTGAGCATTTCTTTTTATGTTGATGCCACTTTTCTTCATTGATGCACTTATTGGTCTTAGCTAGACATACCCAAAAAATCTTAATCAACCTTTAATTGGTGCTATGCTACCTCTACCGTCTCAGAACTATATCATTTCTAATGCCATCTTTCCTTATCTTAACATCCTTTTTATGGCTCTACTTCTATTATGGACATTTACTTCTATTATGGACATCGTATTTCTTAATTGCACAACATTATGTCCCGTGAAGAGTAGATAGCACTTTTTCACCTAAGCAAACTTGCTTGTATGAGCAATATCATCTCCGGGTTCTCCCTCATTATTAATGATAACAAAACTTTTCACTCTTCGGTATTTTCTGTTTTTTATTTCTCAACATTTGTGGTATTAAGAAAATTCTAATTATTTGATGATACTAGTCATAGAAAATTGACTCTATGGCCACCGTCTATTAAACTTTTCTTCATACCCACAAAAAGTTCCACATATTTCCAGGAGAACCTCTTCAAGCAAGATGTCATAGGATAGGCCACTAATTGAGCTGGCCAACTTTTTGACCAAAAGGAAAGATAGGAGAAAGTGTACACAAGTAAACCAAGTCATAATCAATGTGTGCATATGTGTGAGTGTGCACACATGCATGTGCCCATTTTATGTAGACAACTTATCAGATCTGGTATGTGCACATGCATGTGCCCATGATTTATAGAGAAATTATCAGGTCTGGTACGTGCACTTGCATGTGCCCATGATTTATAGAGAAATTATCAGGTCTGGATCATTAACTGTTCAAATGCCAGATTATGGTGAAGTGAAGTTTGCGACCATAAAATTCCCCTCAAGAAGGCGAAGTCAAAAGGATTCACAAAACTCTGAAATCTAATTTTATGCCATTTGAACTATTTTCACAAGAACAATGAAATTCTAAACTTTTCAACCAAATTTCAAAATTATCAGGATTTTCATTTTAAATTTCAGACAGGTAATAAAGTTAATTTCCAAGAACCATTAGAAAAGCTTCGGTAGCATAACATCAGTACCTCTTTATGGATTGAATGGTAAGGGAGCTCATTCTGAGACAGAGTTGCAGACAATGATACAATTGCACATACTACCCTTATCCTCACTCTTGCTGTCACCCTGTAATTTGGAAATAAACATCAACGAAGTACACACAACTGATGCACGGGTTACAGAACAAGATGAGATGGAAGGCTCACCATGAATTGCAGTTAAGGAGTGATACTATGCTCTTTGAGATGTGGGTGATTCCTTGTTCGAGATTACCTAGACAAAAGGGATTATGGCGTCAGGCAACATAGTTAACATGAGAGTGCACTGTTATAAAGCTTGTCACAAAAGGACAATTCTTGGTTTCAATTTTAACCAATGCAGATATTAAGGATTACCTTGTTGAGAGTTTGCTGGACCCAGCAAACTACTACCATATAAGACATTAATACTGACCACTTTTGGACATTGTAAGAGCCAACCACCATGGAAGTTGTGGTAAGTGTTTTAGGTTCAGCTTACATATAAGTGGTTGACAGCACTGTAAAACGTTGCACAGATGGAAAACGTCGACATATTTTAGCATACAAGAAGATATGCTTTGTGGCCATCTTGGAAAAACTAACATACTCTTAACGTCAGCAGCTTCGAATAACTGTTAATTAGATTGTCAACTCAGGATCACTATTAAGGCACCATGTATTAATATTACATCTACTTTTAAACACTTATAAATATTGATATACCATACCCAGCAAAAATAGATCACATCATATCTTTCATAATATAAATTGATAAAAAAAATTCACCAAATTCTTTTTCTTTAGATAGCTATAAGTTAAGACTTCATAACATAACCTTAAATGACACACTTGCACGATTTAATTATTTAATAAATGTGGTCGCCATCATATTTTTCAGTGATTATGGATTTTCCTCTTCTATTTTTCCCTTAGGGGGAATTCTTGCCCATTACTTTGTACTAATTATTATATAATAACAGTTTTGCTTCATATAATAAAATTTCAAAAGCATACTATTCCTCTCCGGTTTTTCATTTAAGTAGATTGTATTCATAAAAAGAGGTAATATCAACATGGAGGCCCATCCCATGAACACAAGGATTATAAAGCACAGCCTAGCAACTAACATCAAATGGATATCACCCAAAAATTAACAGAGGAATTAAAGCTTTTTAGGCTCAATAACAGGAGCTCCATTCCCTCAAAAGAGTATTAATGAAATGAATGCCAAACAAAATTGAGCATGGACAAGAATTTTTTTTAATACCTGGAACCAAAACCACAAGGCTGCATAACTTTTGTGTTAAGGAGGGAATCCCATCAACATTGCTAAGCATCTGCAAGCCTACACAAACAACTGAGCTGATTCAGCATTCATATTTACACCTGAAATTTTTTTTTATGGGAATATTTACACCTGAACATTACAACAGCATGTGGTAAGAGAAGCAAAGAAAAGGAAAAATTATTTAGTCCCCTTGCTTCCTATATAATTCATTAATCAGAGAGCAAAAAAATAAGGAAATACAGGAAAAAGACAAATCCCTTGACCCACCATATATTTTACTTCAAAAGAAACTTTATTTGGAAAGAAGTCAAAACTGGAAGACGGAGACAACATTCTAGCAAGAGAAGTAATTGCATAAAATGAAGACAGTTATTTTCCNAAAGAAACTTTATTTGGAAAGAAGTCAAAACTGGAAGACAGAGACAACATTCTAGCAAGAGAAGTAATTGCATAAAATGAAGACAGTTATTTTCCTTAGTCAATTATCTCTTCACTTCCTCTTTGCAAACAAATAGAAGAAAGCATTTAACATTTACCAGTTGACCTTTTTCATTTGCCCTATCTTCTACTTCCAAGTAAAATGCATTGGAGTGACAGATCGTTGAAAAAGGAAATATTATCACATCCCGNCCTTTTTCATTTGCCCTATCTTCTACTTCCAAGTAAAATGCATTGGAGTGACAGATCGTTGAAAAAGGAAATATTATCACATCCCGCAGAAAGATTGTGTCAACAACGCAAGAGGATAATACATTTTAGCTTCTGTTATGATAGAAGCCAAACCCCTGAAGCTGGTTCATAATCATCCTCTGACAAATTAATCGTAGTGGATTGTGTATTAGTGTCANCGCAGAAAGATTGTGTCAACAACGCAAGAGGATAATACATTTTAGCTTCTGTTATGACAGAAGCCAAACCCCTGAAGCTGGTTCATAATCATCCTCTGACAAATTAATCGTACTGGGTTGTGTATTAGTGTCGCCCATATATCTTAATCGATACTTCAACCCTTCTTTTTTTTGCTCCTTATTTAAAGCATAGTCCACAAGATCAAATCTCTCAGCTATATGATTTTTTTGACTTCCCATATCATGCCATGTTGCAAATACAAATCCATTAAAGTGCACAGCATATGGTTACCATTGGGATTTCAAGAAATAATTATCTTAGATTTATATTCATAAGGAAACTTTCTAGTATACACAAAACTATTTTGTTAGGTTGACATCTACGAAATCAACATAGACGTTGNTAAAGTGCACAGCATATGGTTACCATTGGGATTTCAAGAAATAATTATCTTAGATTTTATATTCATAAGGAAACTTTCTAGTATACACAAAACTATTTTGTTAGGTTGACATCAACGAAATCAACATAGACGTTANACCATTGGGATTTCAAGAAATAATTATCTTAGATTTTATATTCATAAGGAAACTTTCTAGTATACACAAAACTATTTTGTTAGGTTGACATCTACGAAATCAACATAGACGTTATTTATTTCCAAGTAAAATCCTGCAACCTCCTCTGAGAAATCATAATTGATGGCTAGTCTTTCACAAGAAGCTGATAAAAATCTATGAAAAATGATCTGTACCAAATAAATGAGAAACTTATCTGTTAAACAGATTAGTAAAGACCAACACCTCCTATAATAAAGAATATACTAACATGATTTGGAAGCAACTATGAATGTGTATCATCAAGTGTTCCAATGAAATGAACTAACCATCTACTACGTCAAAATTTTGCAAGCAGANAACTTATCTGTTAAACAGATTAGTAAAGACCAACACCTCCTATAATAAAGAATATACCAACATGATTTGGAAGCAACTATGAATGTGTATCAAGTGTTCCAATGAAATGAACTAACCATCTACTACATCAAAATTTTGCAAGCAGTTGATTGCGGAATCTATAAGTCCATCTGAATGAGAAACTAAGCCACCCAACAAGGCCACCTGATGTGAGGAATAACATAGTAAGTATGGATATGTCTATAAATTTATCGCACATAGAACTAAACAGTACACTACCTCTGCAGTCTCAAGATAAAGGTTCAACTGCATAAAGAGAGATTNACAAGGCCACCTGATGTGAGGAATAACATAGTAAGTATGGATATGTCTATAAATTTATCACACATAGAACTAAACAGTACACTACCTCTGCAGTCTCAAGATAAAGGTTCAACTGCATAAAGAGAGATGGAATGGAAGGTATTGTAACTTCACTAAATGCTAGGCAAGATCTGACAAAACTATAATGATTTTTCCCTTCTTTCATAGCTTTAATAGCTAATCGGTTGCTGGAATGGATAAGGGTCTCCTGCAAGTCAAATGTAACAACTCAATATGAACGTGGGAAGTACATATGCAGTCTGTATTAAAGAAACATCGGAAACATTTTTTATGCTTATAATTCTTTTTTCTTGACACTACCTACTACCTACGTANGAAGGTATTGTAACTTCACTAAATGCTAGGCAAGATCTGACAAAACTATAATGATTTTTCCCTTCTTTCATAGCTTTAATAGCTAATCGGTTGCTGGAATGGATAAGGGTCTCCTGCAAGTCAAATGTAACAACTCAATATGAACGTGGGAAGTACATATGCAGTCTGTATTAAAGAAACATCGGAAACATTTTTTATGCTTATAATTCTTTTTTCTTGACACCACCTACTTCCTATGTTGGAAGGATGGAAAAGGTATAATCGTGATATGAAAAATAATTTTGTCCTTTAGGCTGGTTTGGTACAGAAAAAAGGAAAAGGATAATGCATGATATAAAGGAAGAATAAAGAGAAATCGCTGCTGCAGGATTAAATACAGGGTAACAAGAAAGGGTGCTGCATAATTTAAAGATAGGAATGCTGTTTGAAGGATAAAGGTGTACAAAGAAGGGGTAAGAGGAGTTCTTTCCATCCCTTTATCCCCACTTTGGTAGGAAAAATTGGGCCTGAAGGAAAAGGTACGTCCCATGTTTCAATGCCTTCCCTTCTGTATCCTACTGACGAATGGAAATTTTATTTAACCACATTAAACATTACTAATGGAAATTATTCATGCATNAAGAAAGGGTGCTGCATAATTTAAAGATAGGAATGCTGTTTGAAGGATAAAGGTGTAAAAAGAAGGGGTAAGAGGAGTTCTTTCCATCCCTTTATCCCCACTTTGGTAGGAAAAAATGGGCCTGAAGGAAAAGGTACGTCCCATGTTTCAATGCCTTCCCTTCTGTATCCTACTGACGAATTGAAATTTTATTTAACCACATTAAACATTACTAATGGAAATTATTCATGCATTGATTTGAAAAACAGAACACCAAACCTTGAGCTCACTGATGCTGCCAAAAGCTTCACGGCATTCCAACAGAAATGTTAAATGGCGTTCCACCTCTGACCCATAGTCAACCTGACAGTAATAAGCAGCTATAGCAATTAAAAGATTAAAAAAATCATTCAACATATTAATCAGCCTCTCAGAACCTTCTACTAAGGAAAAAAGATGTGTGAGACCAAAAATAACNACAGTAATAAGCAGCTATAGCAATTAAAAGATTAAAAAAATCATTCAACATATTAATGAGCCTCTCAGAACCTTCTACTCTAAGGAAAAACGATGTGTGAGACCAAAAATAACATACCATGTGTACAAATTGAGAAATTAGATGTGCCGGCTGCTGATTATCATTGTTTCTCGAGTTTGAGAAATCTATACCATCATGCAAGACCTGAGAAACTTCAAAAAGCAATTGTATAGTTGTTGGGTCACGAATGCAACCATTCCTGTTCAACAAAATAAAAATAAGCAGTATACTTCAATAAAGCAAAATGGCATTAGTAGTTTTTTAAGGCAAAGGTAATAGAGTGAAGGGTAACAAAGAAAACAGGGGCTCAGCCCATGAGAACAAATGTTGTACAAAACAACTCCCTCCATCAACATACAAGTACCAAAAACTTGACAACACCAAAAATGATTTAGGAAGAAAATTGGGGAAAAGTATCATTTATCAGGTCCAGCTTATTTAATGTTGAACCAGCTTCTTCAAAAGCCCACCGTTGACTTACTTCCAAGTATACCACATTGCACCCAAATGGGCCAACTCCGAAAGCCTCTATATGCCCTTCCAAGCACATCCCCTATTCCAGCATCCCAACAAATAACACACTGACCTTGGGATCAACCACAGAACTTCAAATATTGATAATAAAAGAGTCCACAGCTCCCAAGCAACCTAAGCATGAAGCTAAAGATAGCTAAGAAATGATAGCTTCCTTTGATTTAATGAAGTTCTAACTTCTAAGAGCAGTTAATGCATCTGTCAAGGGAATTTGTACATAAACCAAGTCTGCATGTGTGAAAGGTAGATCAACCATTACATTTCCCTGAAAGTAAAAAATATCCGGACTTTTTTGGGGATCTAGGCAGTGAACAGACAGCTAAGCCTCCATCGGCAAGGCATGGCCCAGATAATAAATAATCGTTTGAGGAAAATAACAAGTTTCTATATCCACAGAAACAAGACTCAGTGGGCTCCCGTTCTCAGACAGAGGGAAGTGACTGACAATCTTACCCCCTATCAAAAACGTAGAAAAAAATTGACAAATACATTTCCATTGCCATTCATAATATCCCCAATTACTTGCATTCGCCTATTAAACAAAACATCAGACAGCTACATTGCAGAGCAGGAAAAGAATCACGGCTTAATTTTAAGATTTTAAATAACAAGATGAAGATTTTCCAAAGAAAAAGCCAATAGTTTAGTGCCTTTGCTTGAAATATAAGGGAAAGGAACCATGCAAGATGTTCTAAATTAGAGTCACATAACACACTCATTCATGGTCCTTTTTACCAAAAGCATTCTTATTTGACATCCAACGTACTTGAAAATTGTGCAAAGTGAACATCAGAAACAGAGGGTTGGACCCAAGTTGTGGACCTCCCATAATAAGTTTACATGATAAAAGTCTATGTCAAATTGGATTAACAAATTCTAAATAACATGACCTAGTCTGCACATTCAAATAACCAGCAGTATGAATCATCCCATCATGTGGATCCAGGATGAATTCAATCTCCTTGATAACTACCAGTAAGTAATTAGATTCTTATAACTTCTTGTGGGTCCAAGGATCAAAATTTTGTTTCGGTGCATTGTTTCGGCAAACTTGGAAATGAAAAAGTTTTAGTAATGTTTCAAAAATATTTCAGAAACAAAGAAAAAATTTGTTTTTGAAACACCGAAACATTGGTCGAAACACACCGAAAGAACTCCAAACGTAGAAATTTTGATATTCAATCAATGATTCATTTTAGTTTCCATGGAAACGGAAACGTTTCAGACGTTTTGGAAGTTGCGACCATTTCGAAACGAAATTTAATTCCTTGAGTGGGTCTTACAAGTCCTATGGCTGGCCAGAGTGGTTAGGACCCAATGATCTAGACCATCCACCAAGCCTCAAGAGCTCAATTGCCTATGCATCCCAAAGGTGGCAGTTACACCTAGCTATTATAGCACCTGGAAGGACCAAGAAGCCATAACTTTTTCAATAAAGTGAGAATGTCTAGTCACTGAAGCAAGAGTTTCGTGGTGAGTTGGAACATTAACGTTTATGACTGCGAAACCCTAAATACGATTTAGTACTTAAACAGCAAATCATACCTCGTTGCGATATTGAGAATGTGAATACTGACAATGCTCCTTGAACTCCCATGCATCACATCTAAGATCTCAATGAAATGGTTCTAAAAAATCACAAATACACCAATGTCAGCAATCAATATTTTACTCTGGTCTCAAATCGTTAGTCTTGAAATAGAAAACAAGCTATTCATCTATTGTAACCAGTAAATATTATAATCAAGCTACTGACAGAGCAGGAAAAAGACGAGGAATAAGACAGTAAATAGGAAGAAGAAGAAAATTCAAAGTATATAACCATAGAAAAGTTCACAAGATGCGTACCAGTGCAAATATGACATCTGAGTTGTTAAAATGAGTAAGAAGCTTCACAAGAATCGATTGCAAGCTTGCCAGTGAATTTTTGGTGACCCCTTCATTGCATGCTCTCTCAAAAATACCATCAAGTATGACGTTCAGATAATTATCCTTAAAAAATTACATGCAATTTGGAGATTGTCAGCTAACACAGCATTATTTGCCCAGACCACAAATGCAGCATTCACAGAGTAGCATTCAAACTTCAAAATATAAGACCATTAAGGTTAAGTCACTCAAACAACTTACCATCTGATTCTGAAGAACAATATCCACGTAGGGATCAACAACCTTCAAGTACTCATCAAGGCTGTTGTATTGAGAAACAACCTGAAATTGCAAAAATTACAAGAGACCTTAGAACTTTGAAACCAACAGCTAACCAGTAGCATGAAGGCGGAAAGAAGTAAACTAATAAGAGATTGAACCCTCTTTACTCTCTGGTCATGTATTCACAGCTATGTCTTTTTTCGCCATTGCAAAAAATTAATCAGTAATTCAGCCAAAAGACTAGATAGCACAATTTTTGAACACTTAACAAAAATCTCTCCCACATTTCAAATACAGGAGTAGCAATCAGAATATATGTAGGCTAGCTTCTTGAAAATGTTCTAGGTTAATAGCAGGGTACATGACAACTCACATCAGCATGAAAATTATCGAACCTTTAAACCTTTCCCCCAACCCCCACCCCACCACACCAGCCCAAAAAACCCTTAAAAAAGGCCTACTTGACAAAGTGCAAGAATGAGAGAGGCAAAAGTATCGCAAAGCATATTAAAGGAAACACAAGGTTGTACAATTTGGAATCAGATATAGAATCTACATCAGGAAGGAATGTGAGCCTTAGAAATAAAAGGCATACAGAGCTGCAATCCTCAGGACCGTCTTAACAGCATTTAAAAAAAAGCATGGGCTTTAGGCCCCAAATTTTTAGGTACATTACTAACCCATAAAAAAATTAAATCCTTTAAATTTTAAACCCTTAAAAAAAGGCCCCAAAATATTAAGTACAATCAACGTTTTTATTATGATAATTTGGGTCTATGATTCAATTCATAACATTAGAAATCTAAAAATCATAAGTTGAAAAAATAAAAAATACTCAAAAGTCAACTCATATTTACTCCTACTCGCTCTCTCTGTGTAAAAATTAGTACAAAACATTAAAAAAAAGTTAAAATTAAACTCTCTTTCTGATAAAAAAACAAAAGTTAAAATATTTTTTTCAGTAACACTAGCACGTCCTTCTTCGGTCTTTCTCTCATTTAATAAATTGAAAATAAATTAATTTTTTTTAAAAATTAATATTAAAAATTAAAAAAAAACCTCATTTAGTGTTTTCGTTTTAGGCCTCTAATTGCCTTAAGCCACCCCTGGCAATCCTGCAAGGAAAGTTATCAAATTTTGCGCACAAAGAGAACACAAGTAGAAATTTCAAATACCTCAAGGACTTTATCCATTACCACATCAACTATGTTCCTTTGGGACATACTTTCACACAGCCTGAAACCCAGTAACCTGTAATTCAAGCACTGCACATTTACAAGTCAAAATGCTTGGGATGGGAGCAATAAACAGGGAAACATATAATATCAATAGTGCCACTTGACACTAACACTCCTCTAATGATCTAGCATTCAGATGTTTTGAAGAATACCTGATCGAAGGAACAATCGTCACTACACTCAATAAGATGAAATATCTCCACAGCAGTAGAACTGACTACCTCAATGGGAAGTTCTCTGAGTAAATGATAAAGAATAATTGAGATACATGGGGATTTTCCAAACAACTCTGACTGACGTTCCCATAGTCCAAGCCCCACAAGTACATCTTCAATATCTGTCTTCCCTTAGATTAGTAGAGATTGTAAAGTCAGCACACCACCACAAACAATTAATTCATGTAATAGCTACCCAAAACAAGACCTAACAAAACTGGGAAAAGAAAAAGGAAAAAAAAAAAACAAATATAGAACATTCTGTTAAAATAATAAAATAAGATAGACAAATCAAAAGAGGTAACAAAATTGTTGGATGCTCAACCACAGCTTACTATTTTCCAGCCCCATTCCATGTATCATTTGGATGCTCACACAAAGAATGTCCAACCAAAAATTTTCACAAAACACAACTGAAAGCAATTGCCACAAATGCAGTGAACAACATGCCCATGACAACTACAACGAGGACTAAGCATATTGTGGAAACCCTTTTATTGCCTGACTTAAAAAAACAAGGGAAAATTTCATTCACACCCACTCTAGTTAGGTCTAAATTTAATGACGCCCCCTCTCAATTTTAAAATTTCAGTGCACTCCCTTCTGATTTATACTTTCAAATCAAAAACACCCCCTTAACGGTAATTTTTAACTCTGCCAGTACAAAAAATAAAGACTTGACTATAAATTTTTTGAAAATGTCAAAACTATCGTTCCTTATGTAAATATATTAAATTACCCTCAATCATTTTTCCACTATATTTATCATACCCTTTGTTGTTGACTTGTTGCTGAAGGTCAAAAACGATCTGGTGTTGCCGAAATACATAGGGGATTGAAGACAGTCTTTCTCCTTCAACTCATTCTCCATAGTGATCAATCATTACATAAGTTGGTAAAAAAAAATTTTATTTTTTTTCTTGTAGATTTGTAAATGTTTTTCATGCAAATATTTTAAATTTTTTCATGCAATTTAAAAAAAAAAAAATCATGCAGTTTTTTTTTTATTTTTTTATGCAAAAAGTTTTAATTTTTTTTGTCTTCTTCAACTATTAGTGGTGTAGACAGATATAGAGATTAATGTCTATGTCAAAATCTCATTCATTTCTAACTCCTCTATTATTTTATGTCTTCCACAGCATCCTCCGACCACTCTTCACACATCACCCTTCATATATAAAATTTAAATATTATTTGATAAAATTTATAATAATTGAATAAATTTGGTCTTAATTTGATAAATTTAAATATTAATTTGATGTTAATTTGATATTTATATTCAATGTTGATTTGATAAAATTTAATATTAATTGAATAAATTTAAATATTGTTTTAATGAAATTGAATGTTCATTTAGTGTTAAATTAAATAAGTAACATTAATTTGATAAGGTTAAATGTTAAATTAATAGAATTTAATATTCTATTTAATATATTAAATTTTAATTTAATAAATTTAAATGTCAATTTGGTGTTGATTTGATAAAATTAAATAATAATTTAATGTTAAATTAAATAATAATTTAATGTTAAATTAAAGAAATAATATTAATTTGATGAAATAAAACATTAAATTAATATAACTAAATGATAATTTGATAAAATTAAATATCAATTTGTGTTGATTTGATGAGATGGAATGTTAATTTAGTTTAAATTAAATAAATTACATTAATTTGATAAAATTAAATATTAAATTGATGAATCTAAATGTTAATATAATAGAACTAAAAGGGAGTGCAGTGAAATTTCAGAATCGAGAAGGGGTATTGTTAAAGATATGTCTATTTACAATGGGTGTGGATAAAATTTACCTTATAAAATAATTAGGGATATTTCTATAAATTAACAATTACCGTTAACGTTGTAACCCGATAAATACTGACAAGGGGTAACAGTGAAGTTTCAGAATCAGGAGGGGTGTCATTGAATTTGGACCCCATTACAGGAGGTGAGGATATAATTTTCCCAAAAAATAATAGTTTTGAGGAAAAGTGTGAATCCATTGCCTAGCTTCATGAGAATATCTGACATCAAAGTTATGTAACAACTTGATCAATAGCTTGGCAGGCAATAGAACAGCCGTTATATCTCTCTCAAATAAATCAACCCGAATCAAAACCGTAGTTGTGGTTTGCAAAAACCACTATTCCTCCAACTCTCTTCATCAGGAGACACTATAGAGAATTGTTATAACTACATGTAAATCTCACTACTAGTTTTAGAAATTTAAATAAGGGTAAACTAGGGGACAACGTCAATGACAACTTAACAAGTACGAGGGAAGTTTTCCTAATTGCACAAAATAGTAATGTTGCGTCAAACCACATCGAAATGATCATATTTAACCAGCAGCAAATTGGTTCCATCACAATCATGTCAGATAAATCAATTTCAAGAAGGTCCAAAACACTATATAGTTTCCATTGGCTCTATTACTCTTGCACATGTTATCTTTAAATGATGAAGCAACAAATAACAAGCCCTACAAATTTGTTGCCTATGTTCTTATCTTATTCTTCAGTATCTAGTGGGTACATAAATTTCTTGTCTAAAGCACGATATACGAGGACACGGACATGCATAACCAAACCACATGGTGATCCCAGCCAAGAAATATGATTACCAAATGTCAATCTATCACTAACCTGAGATGAATCCTTGAATATGCACTTCACAAGATACTCAATAGTTGGTTCCATCAGGCTGATGAGCAACCTTCTGTTTCCTGAAAACCTTCCGTATGTGATTTCTGTTGCTGATACAATCCGCATCAATAAAACTTTTAGGTCATTAATGCACGTTTTCAGATATCCTGCTGCAGAATTGTCAACAACATAGATATCAAGCCCAACTAGAGGAATGAAAGGAGCAAAAGTAACAGCCTACAGATGCATTTATAGATGGGAAGTCTACTGTGGGGCATGGACATGTAGGGTCATATAACATGGCTCAGTCGGGTAGACTTGGTGGCCAGTGTCCGACATTGCTCCGGTCCATGAAAAAACAACAAAGCCCATGTGCACNCATATAACATGGCTCAGTCGGGTAGACTTGGTGGCCAGTGTCCGACATTGCTCCGGTACATGAAAAAACCACAAAGCCCACGTGCAATAGCCCTTTCCTTTTGGAGATTAGAACAATTACATCTAGCATAAATTTTATCATTTTCTTGCGTCAAACACATCATATGGTGTACCTACTTGTAAAGTGGTTCAGATCCTTCTGGTTAGATACATTATTCACACTGATAAAGNCAAGTCAATATACTCATAGTAATACTTATAATAATAATAATAATGAGGTGCAAAAACATCTTAGTTTAGTCTTTTCCACATTACTCTGAAAAGAGAATTCACTGGTAATCAATTTTGCTAATTATAACACTAGAATGTTTACTACAGACCAGTGATTGAAGTCTCTAACTGGTTGAAAGCTTGTTGTAGATCACAAACACTCAAACTCAACTAACCTTGTCAAAACTACTTGGTGTCAACTATATGAATCATGCTCTGTCATTGTACGCTATCAAGGGCCACATTTTCGAATAAATTACAATTATATCAAATCTTTTTTAACTTTCTCATTCAAATTTAATTTCAATCTACCTCTACCCCTCGCATTACCATTGATCACTATCAGTTCTTTCACACCATTCTATTACTTCGTATTTTACAAATATGTCCAAATTACCGAAGTCAATTGTCTCTAATCTAATCTTCTACTGGTACTATTTCTCCCGTTTAACGAATGAATTCATTCTTCTTTCTATTTCTGGTTTTACCACACATCCACCTAGCATTCTCATGTTGTGAAACACATACTAATCAACTTTATAAATTTCTTTGCCAAAAAAAAAAAAAGGTACTGTGGTCATTATTTGAAAGTCCAATCAAGATGATCAGTAAATTCAACTGGAGTAAATTTTGCAGTTTCTGTAGAGATGTAAAATGTCACCAAGCCACGTGAAGACCTCAATACTTTCAAATCATCCTTTGTGTGCCAGAACATATAAGTTGTTAAGAAGCAAAAGCAATTCAGAGACAAGGAGAGCAGCATCCAGTATGTAGCTCAAGCTAGTGATCAGTTTGCAATATAAGCACCAGGGAACATACCTAGGTGAAAGCACAATACAACAGAATATAATCCAGCAATAGTACACATGACGGTCACGATTTGGACCGTACTTGAGTTTTAACAAAGTGAGACGAAAGAAGTCTTATTACAACTAATCAGGGAAAACAAATCCTGTTTTGTAAATTTGTTCCAGATATGATCAAGAAGCAATCTGCATATAAAGTATAGGGAAAACGTATGTGTTACATAAGAATTTATGGTGAATGGTTAAGTGTACTTGACAACTCCACATGGAAACATTCCGCAGATTATAAATCATTAAAGATAGAGTATAAGGACTTCACATGCGTGGAAGGAGCTCACGGATGGAACCAACTTTGCAGAACCAGTTATAGCAGGTTTCTTTGGCATCAATGCAAATTTCAGTTGCTTGAAAATTCTCTGCCATATCGAGAAAAAAAAAAACTTTCAGTCAAGCTTTTAAGTGTAAGAAGAGAAATATATATGTCTTAACAAACCTATTAAGCAATCAACAAGGCAAACTGAAGTATGGAAAACATTATGTGCAGGTAGGTTTCAATATAAATGTCTCTGTTGCTCTGTTTTTCATTTATTTCACATAGCTAGAACAATTTGCTACCAATCCCCACACTCATCTTGCCGTTACACCTTGTTGAATTGATCATTTGAATGGTAGAATTTTAGGTCCTTGTTGTCCAATTATGTTTTCACTGCCCTTAAAATGATGGGGCTTAAATACAAGTTTGACACAGGACCCAAGTTAGTGTACTCATAATGGCACAATCCAGTTTGAAATGGAGTTATATTTCGAGTATCAACAATCTCCTGAATATTCATTCATCATCTGAACAATAACGAGCAAGTCAGCAGCAAAGTGTTCTTAAGCAATGTCGTACATTTTTACAGGTCTAGCTGATGTGGAAAAAGTCATTTATGGAGATTTGACAGCATTATTGAAAAGGCACAAGCACTTGGTGACTGCACGTGTCAGCANATCTTCTGAGTTAGTACGAATGTGTGAGCTTGAAACTATAAAGGATGCAATAACTTGACCTTTACACCAAGTCAATATACTCATAGTAATACTTATAATAATAATAATAATGAGATGCAAAAACATCTTAGTTTAGTCTTTTCCACATTACTCTGAAAAGAGAATTCACTGGTAATCAATTTTGCTAATTATAACACTAGAATGTTTACTACAGACCAGTGATTGAAGTCCCTAACTGGTTGAAAGCTTGTTGTAGATCACAAACACTCAAACTCAACTAACCTTGTCAAAACTACTTGGTGTCAACCNACAGATGTGTCCATCAGAAGCCTAGCAACCTGTAGAACAAAAATATTGATCTTCAAGGGCAAATGACTCAAACTAAAATTAAGGCCGATACAGCCCACCCACCAACCCACCTACCACCCCTGGCCCAGCGCAAGGACAGCCACATATATCTNTCAAGGGCCACATTTTCGAATAAATTACAATTATATCAAATCTTTTTTAACTTTCTCATTCAAATTTAATTTCAATCTACCTCTACCCCTCGCATTACCATTGATCACTATCAGTTCTTTCACACCATTCTATTACTTCGTATTTTACAAATATGTCCAAATTACCGAAGTCAATTGTCTCTAATCTAATCTTCTACTGGTACTATTTCTCCCGTTTAACGAATGAATTCATTCTTCTTTCTATTTCTGGTTTTACCACACATCCACCTAGCATTCTCATGTTGTGAAACACATACTAATCAACTTTATAAATTTCTTTGCCAAAAAAAAAAAAAGGTACTGTGGTCATTATTTGAAAGTCCAATCAAGATGATCAGTAAATTCAACTGGAGTAAATTTTGCAGTTTCTGTAGAGATGTAAAATGTCACCAAGCCACGTGAAGACCTCAATACTTTCAAATCATCCTTTGTGTGCCAGAACATATAAGTTGTTAAGAAGCAAAAGCAATTCAGAGACAAGGAGAGCAGCATCCAGTATGTAGCTCAAGCTAGTGATCAGTTTGCAATATAAGCACCAGGGAACATACCTAGGTGAAAGCACAATACAACAGAATATAATCCAGCAATAGTACACATGACGGTCACGATTTGGACCGTACTTGAGTTTTAACAAAGTGAGACGAAAGAAGTCTTATTACAACTAATCAGGGAAAACAAATCCTGTTTTGTAAATTTGTTCCAGATATGATCAAGAAGCAATCTGCATATAAAGTATAGGGAAAACGTATGTGTTACATAAGAATTTATGGTGAATGGTTAAGTGTACTTGACAACTCCACATGGAAACATTCCGCAGATTATAAATCATTAAAGATAGAGTATAAGGACTTCACATGCGTGGAAGGAGCTCACGGATGGAACCAACTTTGCAGAACCAGTTATAGCAGGTTTCTTTGGCATCAATGCAAATTTCAGTTGCTTGAAAATTCTCTGCCATATCGAGAAAAAAAAAAACTTTCAGTCAAGCTTTTAAGTGTAAGAAGAGAAATATATATGTCTTAACAAACCTATTAAGCAATCAACAAGGCAAACTGAAGTATGGAAAACATTATGTGCAGGTAGGTTTCAATATAAATGTCTCTGTTGCTCTGTTTTTCATTTATTTCACATAGCTAGAACAATTTGCTACCAATCCCCACACTCATCTTGCCGTTACACCTTGTTGAATTGATCATTTGAATGGTAGAATTTTAGGTCCTTGTTGTCCAATTATGTTTTCACTGCCCTTAAAATGATGGGGCTTAAATACAAGTTTGACACAGGACCCAAGTTAGTGTACTCATAATGGCACAATCCAGTTTGAAATGGAGTTATATTTCGAGTATCAACAATCTCCTGAATATTCATTCATCATCTGAACAATAACGAGCAAGTCAGCAGCAAAGTGTTCTTAAGCAATGTCGTACATTTTTACAGGTCTAGCTGATGTGGAAAAAGTCATTTATGGAGATTTGACAGCATTATTGAAAAGGCACAAGCACTTGGTGACTGCACGTGTCAGCATGTGCATCTAAGTGCATGTGTGTGCATGTGTAAGATAGAGAGAGTGAGAGAGAGATCTGAATTTATTAGAGAAATAAACCTGGTAAAGAGCAGATTATGGTTCCATCTTCAGCAAATTCAGCTTTTCTCCTAATCCGTTCCCAGACCATATCTCCGACCATATCCATTACATCAGTAGCTAGGACAAATAGTGTTGGATAAAATTGTGCTACAGATGTGTCCATCAGAAGCCTAGCAACCTGTAGAACAAAAATATTGATCTTCAAGGGCAAATGACTCAAACTAAAATTAAGGCCGATACAGCCCACCCACCAACCCACCTACCACCCCTGGCCCAGCGCAAGGACAGCCACATATATCGTGCCACAACATAAATTTCCCTCCCAATGAATTAATTATACTCGTCCCTGAACCCAGCCTCGCTCTCCAAATTTGGCCAGGAAACTTTTAGCTGGTCCAGTGGCAGAATTTTCCAGCTACCTTTCAGGCTTCGGACAATAGTGACATCATACTCAAATCAAGTTTCAACTGGTTGAGAGGGGAAAAAGAATCTCCTTTTAACAGTTACCATTGCGTTCAAGTTTTTCAGCAAAGGTTCACCGACAGACGAGAGTAATTTCTAACTGAGTAAAGAACATCAGTTCTCCACTGACCAGCACTTGGCTACTTTTAACTAAGTAAAGAACTTCATTTGTCCAGTTATAAGCCTACCAAACAATGTTCTCTTCNATAAATTTCTTTGCCAAAAAAAAAAAAAGGTACTGTGGTCATTATTTGAAAGTCCAATCAAGATGATCAGTAAATTCAACTGGAGTAAATTTTGCAGTTTCTGTAGAGATGTAAAATGTCACCAAGCCACGTGAAGACCTCANTGTACAAAGGCTTCTTTCATTCACATAAATGAAGAACTGAAAAATGAAGATGTTTCAATTCATAAGTTGGTAGCTCCACTCCTTCAAAATGCCTTTGGCTTTTTCCATCCAAGCACTCCACTAGAAAAACTTGTCCCAAACCTCACTTAGTCTGCCACAAGCACATCCTGACATCCAACAATTAATTGAGCAACGCCAAAGCCTGGCATGATCCACTCAAAATATGAAAAACACTCTATCGTCGCCACTTTACAATGCAAAAGAAGATATTCACACTCTAGTCANGAGAAGAAAATTGACAAAAAAAGGATGAAAAACAAAAAAACATAAGAAACCCACCTTAATAGACAATTTTAAAGCTGTTACACGATCACCAGCCTGCCAAGCACGACTAATTTCATCTTTGAGTTCGNGAAGCAATCTGCATATAAAGTATAGGGAAAACGTATGTGTTACATAAGAATTTATGGTGAATGGTTAAGTGTACTTGACAACTCCACATGGAAACATTCCGCAGATTATAAATCANTTTTTTTTTAAAGTACTTATGAGAAATTATAATAATTAAAAATATTTTTATAAAATCACCCAAAACATACCCCTTAGCCCTCTAGTTTACATATTAAATTTGGACTGTTAATATTAGTCGTTAGATTAACTTTNCACCTTCAAAGGGGCCTTAGCCAAATAGCTTTTCAAATGAAAAAACGGTTCCCAACCACCTCAGTATTTAAAGACAATACAGAACATCACAGTAACAATCCCTTTCTTTGTCAGTATGCATTGAATCAAATTGGCCAATTCCGCATGCACCAGACAAGTATGAATCTGTTTGAAAAGTGAGTTAATAGACAGGAGCTCCCAATAATTAACTGAGGTGAAAGCTCTGATAAGAGACCACACCCTGAGAGGAGAAAGAAAAACAAAATGCAACTTAGGCATCCTTACGAGATGAGATTATGAAAAGGTCTGGATATTGATGCTTCAAAGCATAACCCCCACACAAAATGTCAAACAGAATTTAACTTCCTCCCCATTCCTAACCACCAGGGAGAGATGCTTAAAGAAATCAATCCACCCTTTTTCTTTCCAATGCCACACACCATAGGGAGGTTTAACCTCTCTAATAGGGCACCCTCAAGAACATCCCCATCTCTCAACTCATGGATGCTTGTTGAATGTTTTGATCAATAAGTTAAAGAATATCTACTTTGTATCTTATATGAATTTATATAATGCAATATCATGTCCAAAAAATGTATAATTTTTGCTGCCATGTCTTTGCAGTGTCCATATCCTACTTTTTTAGGATTTTCTTAGTCACGCCTGTGTCCCAAGTCCATGTCCATCCTAGTGCAGCGCCTATAAACTTTGAGTAAGAAAAACATCCCTGTTCTTTTCCAAGCAAGTGGCTAACAGCCACCTCTCCCCCCCCTCCCCCCTAACCTCAAATTTGAAGCCTAAAATGCACCACTGTGCCACGATTGCTTTGGCCCAGCAATATAAATGTAAGTTCAAAACAAGTGACCTACGTACCGAAGAAACTGAAACCGTTTTAGAGACGGGAAACCTTTGCATTAAGATTTTCTTAAAAGAGGTCCATTCCTTTGCCGGAAGTTGCACCTCAGCTTGACGAGGTAGCCCTGGGGTAAAGCCATCCCCTCCATCCTGGAAATCCTCCACAGCCACTGCTTCTTTAGCGTCTGACGCCCTCAGTGGATCAAAGAAATCATTCTCATGATCCACGACATCAACCTATTATGCGATACAATTGAAGAACATCAAAAAAATGTATAAATTGAAGAGCAAGTCAAGAACTACAATAATTTTTAACAGTAGAAATATTGATTTTTTCGCATAGCAGTGTTTGTGACTTCAATCGAATTATTACTCTTCAACTTAGTTTCCGCTAATGCACTATAATTTGATTTAGTTTATGAATACTATGAAAATTGTATCGAATATGAAGATGAAAACAGATGAAGTTGTACAAGAATTTGGACCTGGTTGTGCGATAAAGATGGAGCGGATAGAGATAGAGGATGAGTATCGGCGCGTGCTCGAGGAAGCGAGTATGCTTCTTCTTCGGCTCTGTAGTCTCGAGGTCTGAAGTATACTTCCATCGGAAGTTTGTACCAGTTCCGTCCTCTCTTCTCCAACTCCGGTCTCGGCCTCTTTGGGTTTTTGACTCCGTTTGGCCGGCTAGTGAACCAAGGCGACGAAAAATATCCCAAAGCTCTCGTTAAGATCTCATGATCTGCAATTTTTTTGGGTAAATATGTCAGGCTTAATCGTAATGGAGGTCTCAATATATGATATTTATCTCTTTTTTATTTTTAATGTTTCAATTATATTATTTTGATCTCTAAATTATCGAATATAGTTCTCTATGATTATTAAAATAGACAACATCTAAATTGCTAACGATTTTTTATCATAAATTTGTCACATAATATCTAAATATGGACAAAAAATAATTTTGATTATTCTTAAATAAAATTTAGATAGATTTTGATAAAAAAATGTATCATATGGGTAATTTTTGACCAAAATTTGAAAAATTGATAATCAAAACTATATTCATATTTAAGTATCACGTAATAAATTTATAATCAAAAATCGTTAGTAATATGGACGTTATCTGCTTAATGGACTATATAGAAATACTAAATATTGTCTATGTCTGAAAGTATAGAGTAATAAAAAAATGTTTAACAATAAATATATTTGTATTCACACCCAAAATTAAATCATAAACGTAGAGAAGAAAAGAAAAGAATTTAATCACAGATTGTAGTGGGGGTGAGCGGTGGTAGTGGTAGTGAGCGATAATGGTGGTGGTAAGAAATGATGATGGTCATGGTGGGTGGTGACGACCATAGTAATGGTGATAGTTGTGGGTGATAATAGTGATGGTGGTAGTGAGTTTTGGGTGATGATAGTGATAGTGACAGTCATGAGTAACGATGATGGTGATGGTGAACAATGATGATGATAGTGATAGGAGATGACAGGTGCTTTTAGGTGACAATGTGATAGGCGGTGACAAATGACATTGGTGGGGTTGGTGGTAGGTGTGGTGGGGGATGGGTGATAATGGTTGGCGGCGATAGTGGGTGACAACACGTGGTGGTGGGTTGTGGTAGTTGGTGGTGATCGGCAATAATGGTGATGATGAGTGATGGTGGTAGTGGTAATAAATATAAAAATGAGATGATGATTGAGATAGATAGTGACGATAGACCACGGTAGTAGCAATTGGTGGTGGGGTGGCGATGGAACAATAGGGGAGGCGATGGGACAATGGTAGCGATGGTGATGAGCGGGTGGGGTGGCAGCGATGGTGGTGAGGCGATAAGGGGTTATGGTGCGACAGTGATCGTGGTGGTAGGGTGACGATAGTAGTGTTGGGGGGTAACAATGGCGATGCAGCTGGTGGGGAGTTGGTGGTGGTGGTGGGGGGTGGCGACAGTGGTGGGCGGTGGTGGAGTAGTGGTTGTGATGGCGGTGGGGATGGTGGTGGTGGTGAGACAGTTTCAAACACTACTTTTAAAAAAAATATATTTATTAGAAGTTATAAGTTATAGAACCACTTTTAAAAAGTCATTTCAAACACATTCTTATAAGTCTATTTTACCTATTAAATTTGAGGTATTAATATTAGCTGTTGAATTAATTTTAAAGTAAAATTTAAAGGGATCTTAACCGCGAAAAATAAAAGTTATTTTGTTTGTCTTTTAAAATTTATATTGTGTTGTACTTTATTATATAAACTAATTATTTCTCATACCTGAAGGCACAGAGTAATAAAAAAAAATCAACAATAAATATATTTGTATTCACACTTAAAATCAAATTACAAATATAGGGGAGAAAAATAAATGAATTTAAGCACTAGTTATAGTGGGACGCAAGCGATGGTTGTGATGGTGAGCGACAGTGGTGATGGTGGGAGACAGTGATAGTTGTGATGGATGATGACAACCGATTGTAATGGTGGCAACTATATGTGACAATGGTAATGGTGGTTAGAGGGTAGTGGGGGTAATGTGGTAGGGGTGATGGTGGGATAGTGGTGGGGTGGTGGTAAGATGTTGGCAATGGTGGTGGTGGTGGGGCACGAATGGGGTGATGATGGGGTTACGATAGTGGAGGTGGTGGGGCGGTGGTGGTGGTTATTGTGGAAGAGGTGATGGTGGGGTGGTAGTAGTGGTGGCAATAACAATGGTAGTGGAGGCGATGAGTGTGACAGGGTGGTGACAATAGTGGTGGTGGTGGTGGTAGTGATGATTGTGGTGGGCTTGGTGGTGGTAGAGATGTTAGTAGGGGCGGTTTTTAAATAGTATTTTTTTTTTAAAGTACTTATGAGAAATTATAATAATTAAAAATATTTTTATAAAATCACCCAAAACATACCCCTTAGCCCTCTAGTTTACATATTAAATTTGGACTGTTAATATTAGTCGTTAGATTAACTTTAAAGTAAAATTTAAAGAGATCTCAACCGCGAATAACAAAAGTCATTTTGTTTATCTTTTGAAATTTGAATTGTATTGTACTTTATTATATAGATATTCAATACTTTAGGGATAAAAAATCAAAATGAGACAAATTTCATACTTTGGAGACTTGCAGTGCCATTAACTCATATCTTTATTAGAAAGTTTATTTTGTTTACAATGGTTTCTCAATATTCAATTATTTCAATTTAATCTACCAATTAAGTGAATTGGTTAATTTTAGTCATTAAATTAAATAGTAACACCATCTGTCAAGAGTATTGAGTGAAGTAGTATCAAAAAGTATTCCAGTCATACTTAATTCATTAACAAGGAAAAATTATACTGAGACCCCCTAGAGTTTGTCGCTTATTTATTTAGATTCTTTAATGTTTAAAATATTACATATAAACCCTTAAAATTTTTATACGTGTAACACTTAGACCCTGCTATTAATGTTAGTTTGTTAGCAAATTATACCTAGACCTCCAGAAATTTATAGATGTGTAACATATAAACCCCTTAAGTTTAAAATATTACACATTAATAAAAAATATTTCAATTAAAAATAGAATATCAAATATTTTAAATTTTAAAACTAAAATTCATGCTCTATTATGTCATGAAGTTAGAGATCGAAGAGAAGCACCGAAGGTCAACTCTTTAATGTCTAAGTCAATAAGAAACGCAAATGTATGAATTGCATATAATAATCGATATAAATATATCAAATAAGTCAATTTAATACTCATTTATATATAATTATGTTGTCTATTGGAATAAAACTAAAAAAAAAAAAACCAAACAAGAGATCAAACTGAAAAAGACACAATATCTTCTATCTTTAATTTGGGTAATTTAGTTGCTTAATAGATTCCATTAATTCTGTAACTAATAAAGGGTTTAAGTGTAATATTTTAAATTTAAGGGGTCTGAGTATTACACATTTATAAACTTCAAGAGTCTAGGAGTAATTTACTAATAGATACACTAATGGATTCAAAAGATTTAAATATAATATTTCCAATTAATAATTAAAAAATTAAATTAAACTAATTAAAGTTCAAAAACTATTTTTTAAAATAGTAGTCAAAGTTTAAGGATATTCAGTGGGCTCAAACAAAATAATAATAATAATTTTCGGCTGACACACAAACCGATGAAATTTAGTCCGCGAAAGCAAATTTGTTGCAGCTATTTGAGGAATAATTTTTCTTACTTGTAAAAAATATTTATCTCAGGTACACTTCAGGGAAAAACAACTAAGGAATTCAGTGCGCATAACAAAAGTTGACTTTTATTTTTTCTTCTCGTATTTATAGAATAAAGTTGATTTTGTTCATGGATGGCAAGTCAACCAAGTAAAGCTAAGTTGCATTGCAAGTGGGAGTAACATGTAATCGTAAAGGAGTTTTGGAGTCAAAGATAACTTGTGTATGATGTTTTAGGAATTAATATCTCGGGTTTTTAAGTTACAATTCTCTAAATTTATTTTTAATTTTTCAGATATATAAAATTTTATATTTTTTTTAACTGTTAGAAATATTCGGTTTGGTTAAAGACATATTATACATATTGGGACTAAAATATTCATGAGGGATAAATTTCTCGTGATTTAAGCCCAAAAGATTGCAGAAATTCGAACTCACGATATCTGAATTTATAGTGCGTCCTTATTATCACTTGAATTATCAGGGTTAGGAGTTGTTGTTCTTATACATGGGCTTACAAGTTTGATTGAACTTGATTTTCAGTATTGGTTGCAATTTTATGCGTGGGTCAGGTTACTTAAAGGGCCGTTTGTTTTGAGTATTAGAGTGGTATAAGGAGGTGGTATTAAGAAAATAGTACGTGGAACCTATCTTATACGTTATTTGTTTGACATTTTATAGTCAGTACTATTTTCTGGGTCATAATACCGACCAGCTACGAACAGTAGTCATAATGCCTTGTAGAAGGTCTTAATGAATACCACCTAGGGGTGGTATTATATTCTTGGTATAAGTATTATAAACTAAAAAGACTTAAATGCCCTCCGATACAATTCCCATATAAAAGCCTAACCGCAATTTTTGACTTTTTAAAGGTTAAAATCGTANGGTGCGAATTTTAGTGGGTGAATAGGTGCCGGACCCTCAAAAAAAAAAAAGACCAAGTGTGAATATGTGGTTTAATGCCGGGAGCAAATGGGAATGCCCGATGGACGTGCAAAAACACATAAAAAAGTGTAGTGGTAGGTTATTCACACAAGTCCCACACTAAGACAACTCTACCATAAAAGTATCTTTATCAATACGCCAAAGAGTTATTCAAACTGGTTGTTGATTCTAAACAGCTGCGTTACCCTCAAGGGTTTCGAACAGAGAAGCAGGTGCACCAATGCCAACACTCTTGGGACCTTCTAGTGTACAAGCCTCTTTGGCTGTGTCCATATTAAAGAATTAAAAACTGNAAAAAGACTTAAATGCCCTCCGATACAATTCCCATATAAAAGCCTAACCGCAATTTTTGACTTTTTAAAGGTTAAAATCGTATTTTACATTGGTTAGCCGCAATTGTTAACTTTTTTAAGTAGGTATTACACAGATAATATTTGTGATAAACAAACAAGGTGAATGATGAGATTATAGTTTAACACCGGATATAATATATTATTGAATTCGAGTGGAATGAATATAAAATTTTATACCACCTAAATTTTATACTCGAAACAATCATGCCCAATGGTTCCATCTCTCCGATGCTTGCTGATTTTGAATGTCAATAAGCAAACAAATATAAGAATAAATCGTTTTAATTTAGGATAACATATATTATAACATAATTTTGGGTCTTCTTATGTGTGCTCTCTCTCAATCATACTGAATAATTAATAAATAAATTTACTAAATACTTAAATCTTCCATCATCATCTAAATATGACGGGCCTTACTTACATAGTGGGGCCCTATTTGAATACTGCAAATCTCACTTATCTAATATGATGAAAAAATGNCAATATAAATGTAAGTTCAAAACAAGTGACCTACGTACCGAAGAAACTGAAACCGTTTTAGAGACGGGAAACCTTTGCATTAAGATTTTCTTAAAAGAGGTCCATTCCTTTGCCGGAAGTTGCACCTCAGCTTGACGAGGTAGCCCTGGGGTAAAGCCATCCCCTCCATCCTGGAAATCCTCCACAGCCACTGCTTCTTTAGCGTCTGACGCCCTCAGTGGATCAAAGAAATCATTCTCATGATCCACGACATCAACCTATTATGCGATACAATTGAAGAACATCAAAAAAATGTATAAATTGAAGAGCAAGTCAAGAACTACAATAATTTTTAACAGTAGAAATATTGATTTTTTCGCATAGCAGTGTTTGTGACTTCAATCGAATTATTACTCTTCAACTTAGTTTCCGCTAATGCACTATAATTTGATTTAGTTTATGAATACTATGAAAATTGTATCGAATATGAAGATGAAAACAGATGAAGTTGTACAAGAATTTGGACCTGGTTGTGCGATAAAGATGGAGCGGATAGAGATAGAGGATGAGTATCGGCGCGTGCTCGAGGAAGCGAGTATGCTTCTTCTTCGGCTCTGTAGTCTCGAGGTCTGAAGTATACTTCCATCGGAAGTTTGTACCAGTTCCGTCCTCTCTTCTCCAACTCCGGTCTCGGCCTCTTTGGGTTTTTGACTCCGTTTGGCCGGCTAGTGAACCAAGGCGACGAAAAATATCCCAAAGCTCTCGTTAAGATCTCATGATCTGCAATTTTTTTGGGTAAATATGTCAGGCTTAATCGTAATGGAGGTCTCAATATATGATATTTATCTCTTTTTTATTTTTAATGTTTCAATTATATTATTTTGATCTCTAAATTATCGAATATAGTTCTCTATGATTATTAAAATAGACAACATCTAAATTGCTAACGATTTTTTATCATAAATTTGTCACATAATATCTAAATATGGACAAAAAATAATTTTGATTATTCTTAAATAAAATTTAGATAGATTTTGATAAAAAAATGTATCATATGGGTAATTTTTGACCAAAATTTGAAAAATTGATAATCAAAACTATATTCATATTTAAGTATCACGTAATAAATTTATAATCAAAAATCGTTAGTAATATGGACGTTATCTGCTTAATGGACTATATAGAAATACTAAATATTGTCTATGTCTGAAAGTATAGAGTAATAAAAAAATGTTTAACAATAAATATATTTGTATTCACACCCAAAATTAAATCATAAACGTAGAGAAGAAAAGAAAAGAATTTAATCACAGATTGTAGTGGGGGTGAGCGGTGGTAGTGGTAGTGAGCGATAATGGTGGTGGTAAGAAATGATGATGGTCATGGTGGGTGGTGACGACCATAGTAATGGTGATAGTTGTGGGTGATAATAGTGATGGTGGTAGTGAGTTTTGGGTGATGATAGTGATAGTGACAGTCATGAGTAACGATGATGGTGATGGTGAACAATGATGATGATAGTGATAGGAGATGACAGGTGCTTTTAGGTGACAATGTGATAGGCGGTGACAAATGACATTGGTGGGGTTGGTGGTAGGTGTGGTGGGGGATGGGTGATAATGGTTGGCGGCGATAGTGGGTGACAACACGTGGTGGTGGGTTGTGGTAGTTGGTGGTGATCGGCAATAATGGTGATGATGAGTGATGGTGGTAGTGGTAATAAATATAAAAATGAGATGATGATTGAGATAGATAGTGACGATAGACCACGGTAGTAGCAATTGGTGGTGGGGTGGCGATGGAACAATAGGGGAGGCGATGGGACAATGGTAGCGATGGTGATGAGCGGGTGGGGTGGCAGCGATGGTGGTGAGGCGATAAGGGGTTATGGTGCGACAGTGATCGTGGTGGTAGGGTGACGATAGTAGTGTTGGGGGGTAACAATGGCGATGCAGCTGGTGGGGAGTTGGTGGTGGTGGTGGGGGGTGGCGACAGTGGTGGGCGGTGGTGGAGTAGTGGTTGTGATGGCGGTGGGGATGGTGGTGGTGGTGAGACAGTTTCAAACACTACTTTTAAAAAAAATATATTTATTAGAAGTTATAAGTTATAGAACCACTTTTAAAAAGTCATTTCAAACACATTCTTATAAGTCTATTTTACCTATTAAATTTGAGGTATTAATATTAGCTGTTGAATTAATTTTAAAGTAAAATTTAAAGGGATCTTAACCGCGAAAAATAAAAGTTATTTTGTTTGTCTTTTAAAATTTATATTGTGTTGTACTTTATTATATAAACTAATTATTTCTCATACCTGAAGGCACAGAGTAATAAAAAAAAATCAACAATAAATATATTTGTATTCACACTTAAAATCAAATTACAAATATAGGGGAGAAAAATAAATGAATTTAAGCACTAGTTATAGTGGGACGCAAGCGATGGTTGTGATGGTGAGCGACAGTGGTGATGGTGGGAGACAGTGATAGTTGTGATGGATGATGACAACCGATTGTAATGGTGGCAACTATATGTGACAATGGTAATGGTGGTTAGAGGGTAGTGGGGGTAATGTGGTAGGGGTGATGGTGGGATAGTGGTGGGGTGGTGGTAAGATGTTGGCAATGGTGGTGGTGGTGGGGCACGAATGGGGTGATGATGGGGTTACGATAGTGGAGGTGGTGGGGCGGTGGTGGTGGTTATTGTGGAAGAGGTGATGGTGGGGTGGTAGTAGTGGTGGCAATAACAATGGTAGTGGAGGCGATGAGTGTGACAGGGTGGTGACAATAGTGGTGGTGGTGGTGGTAGTGATGATTGTGGTGGGCTTGGTGGTGGTAGAGATGTTAGTAGGGGCGNGAAAAGGTAATTGAGTTATTCTTATTCTTGTAATAATGTTTATTTTTATTTATTTATTTTTTTAAAAAAATGATTATAAGTAAAGTTTGCTTTGCAATTTTGTTTTGTTTTTTCTATCCATTATTTTTACATTAAAAAGCATGTAAATCACTTTCATAAAAATATTAAAAATAAATATACTTTTTTATTTTATTTATGACCTTTTCACTTTTGAAAAATCATTGCATTCGTTACCTTACACAAACATGAAACCATAGAAATACAATCAAACACTTACAAAACAACAAAATGTAATGCACCTCTATCCCGTCGACACATGGCATTGTTCCAACATACGACACTGTTCTTAGGATATTATGCATTAGGTCCTACGCTATTTAGGTGTATAGTTTCAATTAATCCAGCTTTCGGGTCAAGTTTTTAGGTTAAACTTAAAAATAATCACATCACTTAGCAGGGTGTTTAGTGTCTCTGTCCCTGAATTTGGGGATTCATTTCTTAATTTGCAGCCCCTTTGCGTCACCTGACAGCATGCAGATACGTTGACAAGAGATGAAAAATTCGGAAATGCCCTTTGACTACCATGTAGATATCTACACATAAGAACCTGGTAAGTTTTCTAATCTCAAGCAATAATCGGTATGTAAAGACATTCTATAATACAAAAAATTAAACATTAATTGTATGATATAATATTATAAATAATATTTTTTTAATTATATAATTTAAAATTAAAGTGAACTGAGAAAAAATAAGATAACACTATTAGGACATAATAAATTATGACCAATGAATTGATAATGTAATACATTTAAGGCTACAACCCAAATTATATTCCAATAGCATTGCTCATAAAATAAGGTAGGGTCGTAGGGTATAGAGAAGAGAGAGAAGTAATTGTGGATTAATTAAGTTATTTGTCATTGAGGTGTTGGTTGAGTCGTTGTTTGACATTGAGGGTCGTGCAGAAAAAAATGATATTTTTTAGCAGAAAAATAAATTTGAGAATGAATTTTATACAATTAGATTAATCTTAATTGTTGTTGTGTTTTTATAAGTTGAAAATTCAACTTACTAGCTATATATATATATATATATTTACCAACATAAATGCACTTTTGAATCTTTGATCGTAGAAAATGTTTTATAAATTGAAGTTGGCAAAAGTTTTCCAACTCAAAGAGGTGAGAATGAAATTTTTGTAAATATATGGACCTTTATTTTTGAATGGAGAATACTAATGGGTCACATTGTTCTTTTTAAAGAGTTATATTATTCATCTAATAATATGATACCTAATCACATACGATTTTGCACAATGATTCAACAAAAATTTCACTTTCTAAAATTTCACTTTCTATTCATCAGAGTTGTTCGGATAATAGCTTCCATGGTTAAATATTTCGAGATCCCGAGTTCTTGTATGGTAAAAGATATCTTATCCGACCCAATGCACATGAACCGTAGGTGATTATGTGTATATCAAAAATTTAAGTAATAAACACGAGTACATCTAAATATATGTGGTTGAAATTATTCGTGATTATTAAAAAAACTAACTTCAATGAAACCACACAATCTGATTCTTCTTAGTAGGTCATAAGGTTGGCGTTTACTCAAAGTGGTTCAATGACTCTATGCTGTCAACAGTGTTCTGGTAAATGGTTACGGGTCTAATTGGGTTCGTATAAACAATCAGTAAACTGTTATACGATTCATTTAAATAAACGGATGGAAATCTTCAAATTAAATACAATTCGTTTATTAAGTAAGTTATATGACTCGTTTGATTGAGTTTATTATTATATTAATTTTATTTAAACAGATAAATGAGTGATAAATAAGTTTACATGTCTCTTTTGAATATGATTTATTTATTAAACAAGTCTAGACGAGTCCACCCGTTTGTTATCCCAACCCAATAAAATCTCACACAAACTCGCTTAATTCTGTATCGATTTGTATAAGTTAATCGTATAATATCCCTCACACTTTTAAGTGAATATTATGTCGGATGTTGACGGGCCAAAATGAATTTGTCGGCAGGGAACGCAGGATAATTCCCCATGGTAGTAACACAAAGATGGTTTCCAAACAGTAGTTACAGTACTTTTTTCGGGGGCAAGAAAGAGGGGTCGCTAGCTCATTGATGAAGAAATCTGTGAGTGCCCAAATCATCGCCATTGTTAAATAGCTAAACCTTAGGAGTTAGGATTCGACCACACTCCTTGCATCACATGCCAAGAGCCTCCACTTTTTACCACTCTTTCCGCGTCAATTCCNTTAAGAGAAAATAAGAGAGAGGTGGGGGAGAAAGAAGAAACATAAGTGTGAATTATTGTGATTGTTTAACATTGAAAAATATGTTGATGGAGTTGTCTGATATTAAGAGTCGTGCAAATAAGATGATTTTTTTGACAATTTTTTTTTTTTGAGATAATTTTTTTTTTGGTTCAATAATTAGAGGTATCCGGGTTAGTAAGAGATATATTTTATATTATTAAATCAAAGTAGATGAATTATCAAATTAAGTCTTCATCCCACATAATATGACACATTTATTATCTTTAGTTAGATAAATGACGCCCATTAATTTTTAATGATGAAAATTATGTGAAATCATTTAATAGGAAAGATTTGATGTAAAAAATTAATAAACATAGTTTTATTGTAAATATTGCATTGTTTCTTAGTACCCAATTAAACCAACCATGCGTTAGGAATTAAATAGATATTGCGATATAATTTGTTAATTTAATTCATTACCGTTCTTGAATTGACAGTGAGAGTG